GGAGATCAACACTGCAGCGTTGTTTCAGAAGTGTGGTAAGTGTCAACGATAACGCAAGTGTGGAAAAAGTGGCTTTCCTGCTAGACCAGGACGTCTTAGTTCGCAGATGGTCCCCTCTCCCAGAGACTGATGCTGATTGGAATGTTGTTTACCAGATAGTCGTGCCTTCTCTGTATAGACAGCATGTGTTATCAGTTGCGCACGAAAGCAAATGGTCAGGACACTTGGGGGTAACGAAAACTTATCAGCTCATTCTTAAGCACTTCTTTTGGCCAGGGTTAAAGTCAGATGTAGCAAAGTTCTGCCGTAGTTGCCATGTGTGCCAGATAGCAGGAAAGCCAAACCAAACAGTCCCTCCTGCCCCGTTACATCCTATTCCTGTAATGGAAGAGCCATTCGACCGAGTGATAATAGACTGTGTGGGTCCGTTACCCCGCACCAAGAGCGGAAACCAATATATACTCACCATTATGTGCGCGGCAACTCGTTTTCCCGAAGCAATTCCCCTTCGTAATATTACAGCCAAAGCTGTAGTTAAGTCCCTCACCAAGTTCTTCTCTACCTTCCACTGTTTGTGCTCCACTTGCATTATTTCAAATAAATACCCTTTCAAACCAACAACATCTGGTTTATGTTTATGTCCCTATATCCCTAGACACCTCGGGACGTAACACAATAGAGAGATGTGTTCATGATACCTAACATTTTAATGTTTGATATGTTTATTTTTATTGAGTGCAAGGTGTGTGCAAAGTGGAAGACATCTGAGTTTTGCACTGACTCCTCCTCACAGGGAGGAACTGGATTTGACTTGGATCTCAGTTACTATTTGGTGAAATTGCAGAATCAATGTTTACTGTATGACTGGTTCCTACAAGAGTTTCATGTTTCAGTATTTATTTGTACAATACACTGATAAACACATTTTTAAGTTGTTTATTATGCACAGTCAACAACATGTGAAGAATGTGAAGACTTTCTCACGAAGTGTTCATAAGCAAAATCATTTTCAGGACATCAGTCAGAGATTTTGGAGATACAGTGTTGATACAAAAAGACTAATATCTGTTAGGAAAGGAGGAGTGCAGAGCTCTGAGGGAGACAGTGGGTTAAAAACAGACGGATACACCAACAACATAAATATATCAGTGAATACCCCAGCAAGAATAAAAATAAGAGAACTTTTCATTATATTACAAGACATTTCCCAGTCAGACACATGAACTCTGTCATATTATGTAAAACAAAAGCTTCAGTGAAAATTACAACTTTTCCATCCTCCCTGCAGTCACATTAGTGAAGGTGGAAAACAGGTTTTGCATTAACTCTAAATTTAAACCTTGCTTAATATGAATTTCCCTCAAAAGTGGAATTTTGTGTTTTCTCAAGTGATCCTCCAACAAACAACAATATTAAACATACTCACCAACTATTATGAGACAAAATCTTGACTTTGCAAAAAAATGTGACATTATGTTTTCTTTTTACCCATCTTGATCTGACTGCAGGTCCACAAAGTGATATTCATATTACAATGGAGAAAAATCTTACACAAGAAAAATTATATTGTTAATTAGTAGTAATGACAGCCAGACAGAAGATTTGTTTTGGAAAATGCCTCCACTGTATATTTAATATTATTATAATGTACACAAAACATTTTGTTCCTTTTACCTTTTCATTGCTAAATATGTCTGTTTCTCTCTGTAACAGTGAACTGGTGCTGAAGTCATTAGTGGTCTGAGGGCTCCTCCTCTGGTGGCTTCATGAACAGTCAGTGTGCTGTGATCATACTGTCAGTGTCTCTGCCTCAGTGAGACTCACAGGATCCAGCAGCAGCAGAGCTACAGAGAACATGGTTGGTATTGAAGGTGATCTGATGGGAGCTTCTCTTCTTTTGCTGCAACTGACAGCATGATATCAAGTCTTTATAGCAGACTGTGAGGAAGTTCTCTTTGTGTAGAGTAGGACACTGACAGGCTATTAGGGAAAGATGAACTGTGTGTCACAATTAGTCGATGCTTGGAATTGTGCTGAATATTTACATAAAAACAACAAACAAACAAGTAAATATTTACTAACATTGACAAGAGAAGTGTCTTCAACTAAAGACTCATGCCACTCACACCAAGTGTTTCACTGAGCTGCACGGGAGCTTATTCCTGTGTATGGTCATCAAACTGCTCAACTCATCCCCCTTTGTCACAGTATGGACAACTGTGGACTGCGAGGCTGCTGAGGTCCTTCTGGTTTTGCTAATTGGACTTTGTTATTACATTTTCCGTATCTTCTGATACAGTGCAATACATACTGGTAACATGCTGAGAGGCGGTTTCGGGGGGGGCAACAGGGTGCCAGTGCCTCTGTAACACAGACCTTGGACCCCCTATGGCCCCCCTCTGAACGAAAAGTCTACAATAATCATAGTAATATATCTTCCTTGCGATGATATGGCACTGATGTGAAAGACGGAACAAAAGTGTCTCAACTAGTGGGATCCTTAGGACGTTACACCTCCACTGTCCAGCGTCGTGTCAAGGTAGTTATCCCTGATAGAAAGTGTTCTCCTTGCCGCTGGAGCGCACGTGCATTCAAAGTTGAAGGCAGACTTTCTACTTCATGAAAGTAAATGAAAAATATAACGTGAAGTGTTTCATCCATCATTTTAGTATTGTTTTATCAACGAGGTTTTTGCAGAGCAAGCTAGCACACGGATTATAAGAACGCTTTTATAGGCTAACGTTGCGTGTTATTGAACTTCATATTATTCATTGCACTGAATTGAGAATGTCTAAACAAGCATATAGTTTCCCTGTAAATCAAACATTTACTTTGCGATAGTCTTACGATGTTATAACTGACCACGTAGTCATCCATGTTACTGTTTGGAAGCTAGATCTAGAGAGTCTGTCCCATTTTTCAAGTAAGCTACTCCTACAAATATCTACGCCATCGATACTGTAAAATCAACATCAGCGTAATCAGTTTAACACATTGCTCTCCTCAACGTTACATCTACCTGACTCAAAATGCACATTAAACTGAATGCAGCGCCCCTGAGAGTCCCCCTCCCTAAAGGGTAAATTCATAGGTGTCATTTACACTCGGGACACTGGGGACATGTCCCCACCACTTTTTTAAAGGATAATTTATTAAAAAAACGTTCTGAAATATAGCTTACAGTAAATAACAAATGAGAATGCTTTTAGAAATTTACTTGCACATTAAGAAAAAAGCAGATCTGAAAGCAACACAGAACGCCTGACAGCTGCACTGACTTAGATTCTGTTATAGTTTTATATTTTGAAATGTAACGTGCCACCTGAATTTTGTGTTTCCTTTTACACAAATAAAAAATTGGTTCATCATAAATTGGTGAAGGAACTTTCACCAGAATGCAGGAATTAAAATCTCCTGGGTTAGATCCCCCTAGACCCCCATCTTATATAGACTAACTCAGCATTGAGGATCTCTTTAACACTGTTTAAGGATCTTTTTGTCTCGTTATTGTGAACCTAGTATTGCATATCGTGATGTCTCGCGGGCTAAGTGTCTCTTTGCACCCCTAATCTGGGCCCTTATGTCCCCACCACTTTTCAACACAAAGTGACGCCTTTGGGTAAATTATTATCATAACAATTTAATAATGCATTGCATTTAAACAGCACTTTTCATACACAAAAAGCAACAACAGCAGCCTACTGGTCCTACCAGGATGGACATGCAGTCTGCCAAAATATGTATGCCTGTCCATAATGCACAGATGATGGCCTACCATCATGTATTTAATTGTGTGTGTATACTTCACATCATGACTAATAAAAGGGGTGAATATGGAGACATTTGTTGTTTCCTGGCAAAAGTTTTAGTGGGATACAAAATAGAAACTGGGATCCAGAGAAAGTCTAGTACACTAGAGCTTATCCTGTTCATTAAGCCTTACAAAGTAGAGTTGCATCAAAGAATGTACTGTAACTCCAGCTAAAGTTAACAGGAATGTTGTTGGGTTTTTTTTAATAATGTAATGTAATAAAACTATAACCAAGTTACTGAAAAGATCCTGTTACTGAAACAAATAACTGTAAGTTACTGAAACATACTAAAACATTACATTATGTACTAAACAAGACATTTTGAAAGCCTGAACATTGCCTTTGTCTCTTTTGTCCCTTATTGAATGTGTCCCTCTGACAAAACATCTGGCCCCAGCCTGGCCCCATCAATACTATTGGTGTAGAACCACCACTGTCATCAGGTATATAAGGGACCGGACAAAGAGCAATTAATTGTGGACTGGGTTTTGTGTAGGAAAATTGTTCTCATAAAAATGTTGGTGTTCAATCTGCAAATCATCTGGAAGACTTTTTTTTATTTTTACTGAAATGCACATTTTTGTATCACATGCATGATATTAATCAATGTCATTACAAAGATACCGTTTCACTACACTAATACAGCATTGCATGAAACATTGCTTTAAAGGACAAACAACAAAAATGTATTTTTGTCCTTAAAAATAAAGAATACAATTTTATTTGTTTAGGTTGGAACTTCAATATTCAATAAGTCACTACTCAGACTTTCCATCACTGACAGTAACAATCAGTATTGTGGAAAAAACAACAAATACTGAATATTGCCAGTGGTAGTGGTAAATGGAGGAAGTATTTTTTTGTATGACTCTCCTGTTATTGTCTCTCACTGTGTCTCTTCTGGCACAGTAATACACAGCAGTGTCTTCAGGCTGCACATTCTGTCCGTTTAGAGTCACTCTGTTGCTGGAAGAGTCTAAGTCGATACTGAACTTGTTCTTTAGTGAATCTTTGTAGTATGCAGTACATCCAACACATTCCATTCCAATCCACTCCAGTTCTTTCCCTGCAGGCTGTCTGATCCAAGCTGTGTAGTAGCCACTAACAGAATAAGAGACCTGACAGGTGATGGTCAGACGTTGACCTGGCTGCACAGTCACAGAGGCTGGCTGTGTCAACTGTTCACACTTCACACCTGTTAAAAAAAAGAAAATGTTTAGTAACAAATGATCAAGTTATACTGCAAAAGAAGAACTGCTGACTTTGACAAATCCAGAGAGACTCACATCCAGCTGCCAACAGCAGCAGCAGAGCTACAGAAAACATGGTTTATGTTGAAAGTGACGTGCTGTGAACTCCACTGACAGCCTGATGGGAAGTTTTTATAGCTGAGTAACAAGGAAGGTCACTGAGTTTGCATAGAATCAAACACATGAAGCATCAATGTTGGTCTAACTGGAGCCAATAGAAGAGTCTGTTGACTGTTATTATATCTGCAGAGTGAAAACATGCCTGGAAATCACCTCTGCTTTACATATGATAATTTAATTCATTCACTACACATCTTGAAAATGTTCCTGCATTAACAGAAATTAAACAACTGTTGACTTTTAATGTCTGTATTGATATCAATTTAATATTTAAAAAAAATTATGAAAATGATTGCAACAACTATTAGGATCATTATTACTATTCTTAATGTGAATATTAACAAGAGTCAAGGATTATGCAAAACTTCATTAAATCCTTTAAAATCAGCATTGCAATAATGCCAACTACCATTAACACTTCCCATAAGCCATATTATCTAATTATTAAAAAACACTTTAAATATAATTTAAGTTTTTTTGTGAGATAAATTATGTATTACCAGAACCTTCTACATCACATTGATGATTAATTTCAACTGTCTGAGCACAGCTTTTTTGAAACATTTACAACATGTACTTATTTGTTCATTTAATTACTACTGTAGCCTACTTATTGCAAAGACAAAACCAGTGCCAGCAGCAGGATCATGTAAATAAAATGAAAGTTATGTAAGTGTGCTTGCATAAAATAAATTTAATGGTTTCTGGTTGTTGACATGACATGGCAATTTCACTGTCACAGAAGATTAAAATGAATAAAGATTATTTTGTCATGATTTAGAGTGCAGTAAATGCTTAAACCTTTATTTGTTTTACAAGGACCTGTTGTTGTAGAAACAGCTTTGTTATTAGTTTTCTTACATTTTTGAGCCAAATCTCAAATTGTCGTTTGATGTGACTGTCTCAAGCATGGTTACGGAAATTACAACTTTTATAAAATAAAATGACACGCATAAAAATGTTGATAAATACTTCAGGCATGATGTTACAAGTGTCTATTTTAGTAAATGACAATCATTTAGTATTTTATCCATATATTTCTATTTATTTAAGCGTAGGAGCTTGATACATTTTGTCACTGAAAACCACGTCCTGTAGTGTGACACCATATCTTAATTTAATCGGCCAATTCAACAGACAACCTTATTTAGTTGAAAAACCCCATTCACTTTAATGGTACTGAAGCCCATGATGAGCACATGGTAAGTTTTGGTCTCAGAATAGTTCAAATATTTAGTTTTTTCCAAACCGCTATAAAAGTGTTACGTTTTTTTGTCCTGTGTGACAGGCCTAAATTATATTTTTAATTCAAAACTGTATGTTAAAGTATATAATTATAGAAAATGTAGCTAACGTGTGCCGCTAACTGCTAATGACAGGTTAGCTAGGTAAAACATGGTCATTAACTGGCACAAACAGGCTGAAACATCCATCCTCATCCTCTGGTGCCACACCTGTAACTGTCAGAGGACAAAGATGTCACACAAGAGGACAAAGTCTCTTTAAAATGCATTTTAAGTTATTAATTCAGATTTGTTTAACTCCTTTGTATTCTTTTGTGTCAATTTTTTGTGTTTTTAAATGCAAAAATTACAGTAAAAAACACAGCTGTTTTTGCAGAAAATTTGTACTGGTTTAAAGTGTCATGAAAATAAGTAATGTGAAATGTGAAACTTCATTTTTTCTTTTTTAAATAGGAATAAATGAGGGTTGGGAGAGAGAGAGGACACTGAAGTATAGAGAGAAAATTTACAGGGATCCACGCAGAAAGGAGTAGGTCCTAAGAGAACAACGAAGAAAGTAAATTGAAATGAAATTAAAAAAAAAAAAATAAATAATTTAGTTTTTGAACAACTTGGTAAAATTACTTGATATTTTGATTTTGATTTTTTTTTTAATCAAAATTACATTACAATTACAAAATTTCACTGGGTTTGCTCTATCAAGGAGTCAACTTTGATTATGTCGATGAAAAATTTTTTGTTTTGTTTTTTAAAATACGGTTAAAATTGATATTGTTTGATTCAACATGACAACAACCATTTATGTCCACTTTAATGCAATGACTACCATTATTGTCCTATAGTGTGACACACATAAAAGAACCAAAAATGTGTGTTTATCTCATAATATCTTTAATAACAACAGTTCAGTATTTTAGCAGGAGAGACATAGTGATCACTCATCATAAATTTGTAAAACTTTCAACAGTTTTGAAAGGATGACATCAAAGTTTAACTCACTTTTATTCAAATGGTGCAAGAATGTGCAAGAATGAACAAAATTAGTGACCCCTTATATTATCTTAAAAATCAGATTTTTCACAAAAATTGTGTTGTAGAAGAAAATTTTTTTTTTTTACTCCGTATTTGTCAACCCATTTACAGACTCTAGTGGAGCAGCTCCTTCAGGGTTCTTCATCTTGAGATCTACTTCCTGTCTGCCGAGATGAACTGACACTGACAGATGGAGCTGCAGTTACTGATGATGGTAAACACCTTATAGTCAAACTTTCATATTCACACTGAAGTCAAGTTAACATGACTTTTGTTTAGAGTAGAAAAGTATCAACTATCACAGTATCCAGTGTACATGAGCAGCAGGAGTGTTAAACTTTAGTTCAGTCCAGGGTTCAAGTGTCAGTCAGTTAAGATCAATGAGAACAGCAGATCTGAGTGTCTCCTTTTAGAAACAGAGGAGAGAGAAACTTGACACTGACTGCCCTCTAGTGATTTTATAAAAGAAACATTATTTTTCACTCTCACATTATGATTCATTTTAGATTCCACATGATTTACAAATAATTTAAATAAAAAAATAAATAAAAGTGGTAGTATTTGTAGCAGTTTAATTTCACCAACCAGATTGTTTTGCTGTCATTGGAACTTCTATAAAGAAGTGATCTTTAATGAGTTTTTTTTTTCCTTTAATGTTTAGTACAAATACTTCCCAGAAACACTCTACAGGACTTTGTGTAATGTTTTTGTAAAAATATCTAATCTAATATCTAATCTAACTTCTAATAAAATATATTCAATAAAACGTCTATGAAGATTCTCAGTCATCCAGGTCATAGTTATCCAACGAAGGTTAAAATCAAGGGCAACTGGACTTGGTTGAAGATACTGGAAGACGTTTCGTCCCTCATCCAAAGGACTTCTTCAGTTCTGACTGACTGGCAGGGAAACTCAGCTATTTAACCTCAGTGGGGTCGTTGGCCCGGGTCATCGATACCGCTGGTTCGTTAGTGTTCCTTGTTGCTGTGACGACTGTCGTTACAGTCGTTAAGACTACCTGTGGCCAAGACTGAACGACCATCGTTGGTATCTTCACCTGAGGCCAATAGGTTACGTTTGTTGAGTTTCCTGGGAAGTGATGAAAGGACAGCATTGTAAGTGGGGGATAAGTGGTGGCGTAGACCCCCTCCCCTGTTCAATGACGGCTTCTCAACCCTGGTGTAGATGCTTCCTTGACACCTCTTTCAAACCATCCATCTTCTCTGTCTAAAATGTGCACCTGGTGGTCCTCAAACGAGTGTCCTCTGTCCTTCAGATGTAAGTAGACTGCAGAGTCTTGACCTGAGGAGTTGGCCCTTCTGTGTTGAGTTCATTGTACTAAAATGGCCCCCACAGTCACCAGATCTCAACCCAATAGAGCATCTTTGGGATGTGGTGGAACGGGAGATTCGTGCCCTGGATGTGCATCCCACAAATCTCCATCAACTGCAAGATGCTATCTTATCAATATGGGCCAACATTTCTAAAGAATGCTTTCAGCACCTTGTTGAATCAATGCCACGTAGAATTAAGGCAGTTCTGAAGGCGAAAGGGGTCAAACACAGTATTAGTATGGTGTTCCTAATAATCCTTTAGGTGAGTGTATATGTATGTATGTATGTGTTGTGAATACTAAAAAAAATGTGTTCATGTTTGGGCTCTAACAGCCTGAAAGATGAGTGCTGTAGGTTTTTGTACAGCTGCTCAACCAACTCCAGTCACTGTGACTCTCGAGCACAATAATAAACAGCAGAATCTTCAGTCTTCAGACTGTTCATCTGCAGATACAGCTGCTGTCTGCTGTTGTCTCTGGAGATGGTAAATCGGCCTTGAACTGACTGAGAGTAGAATTTGCTGCTACCATCAGCATAGATATGAGCAATCCACTCCAGTCCTTTTCCAGAAGCCTGTCTGATCCAAACCAAATACTGTTCACTGAATGTGAATCCAGAGGCTTTACAGGTCAATCTGTGGGATTCTCCAGGCCTTTTAACCACTGGTTCAGATTCTGTCAGAGTCTGACCATCAACACCTGTCAAGAGGAGAAAAACACATCAAGTGAAGTAAGCTGATGACACAAATAAAAGCTATGTAAAATTTAGACCTGTGGATATTTTCACCTGCCCAGCAGACAGTTAAAAGCAGCAGTCCTGTCCTATAGTCCATCATGTTAAACTGTGTGTCCACTGTTCTCTGTCATCCTCTCTGCAGTCAGATAAGTAGAGGTGGAAGACATCTGAGTTTTGCATTGACTCCTCCTCACAGGGAGGAGAGAGCTGGATTGAATATCATTGAGTCATCACCTGTTGTGACGTCTCAATTTTTTACTTGTCTTGAATTGTCTTCAGAAGATGAATTTGTGTTCAGTTTTAGGCGTTTAAAATTAGATTATAAGTCAGATAATATTGTGCATAAGAATTATTCACAAGAGAAATCCCAAACAGTACAATCTACAGGCAAAAACAAACAAGTGAATAATAGCCATAATTTAAATTGTTGCTTTTTATGTCAGAAAACTCCCTCATGACACAAAAACTAAACTCTGAGACCAACAGGAAACATCTTAAAATGACATTAATATTATTGCCTATATCACCATAAGGCTGGCTAATGATTACTGATGCAGTTATGATTCAGATAATTATCTTGAGATCTACTTCCTGTCTGCTGAGATGAACTGACAC